GGGCCCTAAGCCGGACATCTGCACCGACATCATCAAGACGGCTCAGCGTGCGAGACCCGCCCGGGCTCAGCCTGCCATGGAGCGTGCAACTTGTTGGGGAGCGGATGGTTGGATTCAAGGCGCGGAGCACAGAAGACGGAAAGAGGGTTCTCATCGGCCGGAGAAGTGTCTTGGCAGTAGAACCATGCCTGGTTCCAATCCTTGGGGTGACTTGGTGGTTGCGCATAAGGAAAAATGACATCTCTGCGTCGTTGGATTGAGACCCCGCCAAGTTCCAAACTAGGTCCATTGGAGTATTCATTCTGGCGGTTTAAGGAAAACAATTCTCTGAAAAGAAGTAGGATGGGCTCTTCTCCAAGGTACACCTCACAGAACACTTGAAAGTTACATATATTAGACATGGAGTTGGGTCCGATGTCTTGAGGACGGAGGTCAAAAAAGTGCAGAATATCTCTGAAGAATTTTGAGCCGGGTGGCGAAAAGCCCCGGTTCATGTGATCAGTGAAGACGATGACTTCCCCTTCTTTGGGCTGAGGCGTTTTGGATCAGGAGCACGGTACGACATGACATCCCTTTTGGGCAGATAGCCGATTTTCACAAAATCGTCAAAAGTACTCTCCGTGACGATGGATTTGAACCAGTTACATGAAGTGGTTATCTTGGGCGGCATTGTGAAGAAGGAAGCCTAAAAGAGAGTAAAATTACCGGTTCAAATTTAAGCCGGAGGAAGAAATATTACAAGCACATATTCAGACTGGCGGCTTATAAAGGGGCCCAATGGTATATGACTAATTACGTCAGGATATTTAAGCCACCATGAGCAGTTTGATATTATCTATTGTGCATCACCGTTAAAAGCTGATGGCATGAGCCGCCATGGCTAGGAGGATCTATTAAGATGCAGTTTTCTTGCTAAGTACCATACAAACAGGTTTCACATGTTGCAGCTATTATTTTGGATCAGTGGCTGTTCAGAAAAAGGAAATAAATCTGGACCTAAATACTAGTACAAATGAGTTCATAAGCTCTAAAAGGGATCTTTTCTTACAGGAAAGGGGATCTACTGGTATGAAAGGTAAAAGTAAAACAACTCCCGCATACGTTTTGTACCGTTATTAGATCAAAAGGTGCTGCCGTGGACAGGCTAAGAAGAACACTATGAAGAACACGATGAACAAGTCGAAACCCTAATGTGGATCTGAGATACAAGGAAGCAAGTACTTACAGATGCAGATTGACTGCGGAGGGGCGCCGCTGTTTCTCTGGTTCGGTCAGGGTGATGCAGCGGCCAAGATGAGGTCGACGGTACTCTTCGCGGTGGTGGTGAGCTCCAGCGGCAGAAGGTTGCGAGAGGAGGAAGTGATGGAAAGGGGGAGAATGAGAAGAAGACCGGTCACGAGTATTTATAAGGAAAGACTCATAAGTGGGCATGAAAAACGAGAAGGCCGAAAACATGGTGATCCAGCTGCCCAGACACCTCGATTTTTGAGACGGTTGTTAAGATAAGGATCCATTGAGATATGTTGGACAAAGTGCGAGTTAATGGCAAGTGACGTCATGGTGGGTTATCACAGATCCAGAAGATGACGTCATGGCGGGTTATAAGCACTCGCACAAATGAAGATCAGAAGATTTTTCCTATGTATTGAAGATTGACATGAACCAGTTCAAATCAATCTCGGGCCTAATGTTGGGGATATAACTATTAGGTGTGACCCGCCCAGGAGGGGCCGGGTCATACCTAAGGCGGTTCATCAATATGAAGCCCACGAAGATATTTGAAGATGGCGGTTCAGCTAAAGGCCCAAGGCCCAAAGGCGACTTAAGGCCCGTAGAGATAAACCGCCATATATGTATAACTTGTATTGTAAGGCAAGAATAGATAGTCACCGAGCCGGACACTGTTTATGAGCCGGTCGGGACTCTGTGAGCCGCTGGGCGTCGACCTCTGTATATAAAGGGACGATCCAGCGGCGGTTCAGGACAAGTAACAAGAGATCGAAAACTAGGTCAAGCGGATTCGCTCCCTGGTAATCGAGACATAAGCAATACCATCCAAAACTGGATTGTAGCCTTTTACCTTCACCGCAAAGGGCCGAACCAGTATAAACTCTGTATCCTTTGTTCCGATTAACCCCTTTAAGCTTCCTAGTTGCGATGGCTCAACGACTAAGTCCTTTTGCTAGGGCATCTGCCGTGACCTTTTCACGACAGGTAGGATGTGCATGCGTGCATTCATAAAGATGAGTGTAGGTGCGTATCTATGAACGTTTGCGTCCGTACTGTGTTAGAAAAACATACCTAAGTTAACATGGTTGTATATATGAAATATTTAAGATCCAGCTCAATCTTGTTTTCTGGCCAAAATACGTAGTATCAATTACTAGCCTCACTAACTTTAATGCATTTGATCTTTGCGTCGTCGGCGCAACTGGTCGTCTAGTGTACTTAATCTAGAAAAATATCCATGTGAAACAGTACTATCAGGAGCTAGAGTACAACACAGCAGAATATTTGAAGGTACAGGAAAACTTTATTATTGCCTTTTTTTTATAACTGTTGTATTGTATTTTTGCTCTTTTCCCTTTTTTCTTGGCGAGCAGAGAGTCTTCTTCTTCTGTTTTGGGCGAGGAGTGAAAGCAAGAATGTGAAACGCAAAAACATCGGGAATGCAAAGGAGTGATTTGTGGGATAAAAGGAGAAAAAGAAAAAGAAAAGGAAAGGAAAGTTTTCTTGGCCCTGTCTGTGCGTAACGTGGCCAATACTCCAAGGTAACAGGCCGAGATGAGCGTCGAGCGCGGACTTTATTCTGGCTTTTTTGACGATGGCATGTGATTTTCTCATCACTATTGCTTGGGGCGCAGAACAGTCGAGTAGAGAAGCATCAATCCATGTTGCTGCGGCCTTGTTATCTCGTGCCGCCACGCCTCACGGAATATTCCTCGCAGTCCACACATCCCAATCTACTTCTTCTAAATACCGGCAGAATGCAATGTATATACTCATGTATCATCATTTATTAGTCAGAAAAAGGAGTATATATCGTATTGTATATTTATACCTGAACTCTACTTAAATCTGGAAAGTACGGGTCGTGTACGCGAGCGAGACAGCAACATACTTGCGCTTGACTCATGCGTGGTGGCTGGCTAGGAGAATCCGACAGCCCCTGAGCATGACCGGCCAGTTCATGATCGCCTCGAGAGCCGCCAAGGTTACGTGCACACCTACTGCTGTGTGCCCGTGCATGGATTCGCCGCGGCAAAAGCCCTCTGGTTTTGCAGAGGGAGGCGGGAATTATTTACATTTTCTTCAAATCAAATCACGGTTGTTTGTTTACACGCCACCCCTTAATTAGCTGCGGCGTGCTAATCAAACTCAAAGTAGTGGTAGTACCGCCCTTAATTTCCGAGTAACTGCTAAGTTAGGTGCCACTTTGGTCCTCGCCTCGGCGCAAGGACGTTTATATAGGACTAAAACAAAAGGGTCACGCTATCAATCACTTTTTTTTTCTGGCTGTTGAAAAGAAAAGAGGTCACGCCATGCCATGCCATCAATCCTTGAGGCCTCATCGTCGCTTGCCTGAAGCGGCAAAACAAAAGGTGATGGGATTAAAGAAAGAAAGGCGCAGCCGTAGGACAAGCTAGCCGTGTTGTACTGGTACTTGGCCTCTACGATCTCATCAAGTTAAGTCAAGTTAAGTTAACCCCTGGGACAAGCTGTCCCGTCAGTTAGCTAGCCCGTAGCACGGGAGAGTGCTGTCCTGGCGCACGGGACGGGTCCTCCCCTTTTGCACCAAGGACGGCCAGCCGGCTGGCAAGTGGCAGGCGGCGCGCGCGGCCACATTGGCGCCTGCAGTGCGCTGCATTTACGTGCCTTTCGTCGCCCTGCCCGCTGCCACCGCCCCTGCGCGGCATGGCGCCGCGCGGATAAGCGAAGCCCCTGGAGCTAGCGAGCTGCTACAGTGCGTGCCACGCGCACGCGGAGACGGCACGGGCACGGGCACGGGCACGGGCACGGGCAGCGCGGCCAGGCTCGTCCCTCCGCTGGCTCTCGGTCCCGGTGCCGGTTTTGGACGGGCTCGTACGTGCGCGGGCGGCGCTGCCCTCGAGGCTTTTGCCTCGCTCGGAGCCGGAGCCGGAGCGCGACGGCGGCGCGCGGGGATCCGTAGCCCCAGCGCGGGCGGGCCGGGGTCGTGGGGCTTTGACGAGACCGGGCATTAATAAAACTCTTTTTTTTCTCCCTTGTTACAGTAACCCGGGAACCCGCTTTTTCACGCGGCAACAATCGCTTTCCCTCCCGGTGGCACAGCGCACCGCAGCTTTCAAGCCATTGTAGACTCGCCGTACCACCGCCACTGCAGCGCCGCGCCAAGCAAAATCAATCAATGGTTTTCGGTGTTCGTGGACCTGTGGAGCTGCGTGCGTTGCATGGCCTTGACGACGACGAATCCTACCGTTGCGTGGGCCGCTAGTGACGACGACCGGAGAGTAAAATGGAATTGCTTAAATGTCGCTCTCCTCTTGTCAAGTCAGGAAAAGTATGCATAAATATCGCTGTCAATTTGGTTCATATCTTGCGAGATCGCCCTTTTACCGCTAAACAAACAAAATAAAACACAAAGGGTAAGGTAAGATAAGATGCTTGTTAATTATACATATTCTTGTCCCCCAAATCAAGCAAGGCAAGGAGGAAAAGAAACTAACTTTATACAGTCTCGCATCCTAATTTTGGTAAAGGAAAAGTAAAAACGCAGCAAGAGGAGGAGGCAGGGAACCGAAAACAGAACTTGGAAAAGAAGAAAGGAAAAACACAGCAGAGCAGCACCGGACGGACGGAGGAAGACGACGACGTCCTAGATATAGTAATAGTAAGATGATTAACGAAACGAGGTGCATTTCCATGTCTCCGATCGGTCCAATCCCGAAGTAGTAAGAGCCAGGTGTGAAGTGACGGGAACGGTGGCGCCGTCCAAGAACCTTCTGCTGCAGCGACGATCATCAGTACTCCCACAGGAGTGGCTCCTCGAGGCGGAACACGCCGGCGCCGACGATGTCCTCGTCGACCACCCAGGACGACGCGCACGGGAGGCCCGCCGAGGCCTCATATCTCAGGTCCAGGAGCAGGTCGGGAAGGTCGAACAGGGCGTCTTCTGGGTCCGGGACCAGCTCGGCGTGCGGCGGAGGCGGCGGCGGCGGCGAGGCTGCGCTGGCATCGGAGCCGCTGTCGGGGCTCTTGGCATTGGCACTGGCGCCGCAGGGGAAGTCGGCGGAGGCGGCGAGTATGGCGGCCGCCTGGACGTCCTTGGGCGCGGCGCTGGCCGGGCGGGGCAGCAGGTGGGCGAGGTCCGGGAAGTTGAGGTGCGCGGCGCGGCCCTTGATGGCGAGAGTCGCCACGTCGTGGGCCCGCGCGGCCATCTCCGCGGTGGCGAAGGTGCCGAGCCAGATGCGGGACTTCTTGCGGGGCTCCCTGATCTCGGACACCCACTTGCCCCAGCTCCGCATGCGTACGCCGTGGTAGGTCGGGTGCCGGCTGTCCTTGCGCGGGCGCTTGTTCGCGGCGACCGAGGAAGAAGACGACGATGAAGACGAGGAAGAGGTGGCCGTTGGGGAGGTCGGGGAGCCGGGCTCGGCGATGTCGTCCATGGCCGCGGCGGTGGTGGTGGAGGAGTAGGTAGGCAGGGCAGGGGAGGGCAGGGGAGAGTGGTCGAGTGCCGAGTGGAGGTTGGAGGGGAATAGCGGGGTTTTATGGTGTGGCCGCGCAGGGGGCGACGTGGCGCGGTCGAGAAAATTGCGGGGAAAAACAATGGGAAGTGCTGAAATTTGAACCATGGGTCAGGAAAGATCTCTCGCCCGGCTGGAGAGCACAGGGTTTTCTTGGACAAGACAGCTTACTTCACGCGCCTCTGGGATTATTCTCTTCGAGAAGCGTTCATTGAACCGGATCACACAGGGAGGCGGGCTGGCTGGACTTGTTATTTACACCCGGCCCATGAAAAATATATGCAGTACTGGAACTGTTCATGTATGTGATACTTTAATGTCTCAAAAAAATTATGTATGTGAAATGCGACGAGTTCAGTCCAGCTCAGTGTGGATGAGATTCATGTACTACGAGTATCAAATATTATTGCCAAATAGTATAAGAGTATCAAATGCCTGCTAGGTGTTTAATTCCTAACCCCTAAAAAAGGTGTTCAATTCCTTGAACCTAGTATCCATTTGTTCACTGGACTTGTGAGTGAAATGTTTCATTTTACAATCACAAACGCTTTGCACATTGCGTGGTAGCAAAGCTCAAAGATGTTCCAAGTGGAAGACCACTGTGTCCATAAATCTCATTTTACATACTCAAATATTACTAATTTATTACAAGGTCTCTGTTTTAAAAAAAGCAAATGATTTTACTCGCTTAAAATGTCTTTTTACAAAGACAGCAATTTCCCGAAATCTCTCAAAAGAACAGAAAAACTATGATCGAATATACACAATATCATTTTTTTTATATGCACCCCCAAAGCGGCCCAACCGTTTCACAGAACCTCGCATAAATGACCCGACGACGGGCTTTGCCTACGAAATTCGATCTTTTGCAATTTAACATTTGTTGATCAATTGTGTTGGGAGACAGTTCGGTGTTGCCTCTAAGACCCCGACTCGCAAAAGTACACGCCAACGACTTATCGACAAACTGGCATGACCATGGTTTTGTATTATGCGATTAACATTTGCCGACAAAACATGTTCGAGGACAGTTCGTCGTTGGAACTAGGTGGCTTGCCGCTTTGCTCAAAAGATGGTTGGGAGTGATAAATACATACCTTATGAAGTGTGAGTTGCGGTATATCACTTGGGCGGGATAATAACTTTCTAGCCATGTACCTTGTCCTTGTACTAAACTTAAAAGTGTCGACCTTCCAATGTAACTCCGTATAAACGAGTATGACGCATCTATATTATGATGCGTGATTCTTTGTGGAATGTTTTATTATTGAACCAAACCTCATATATACCTAAATAACCAAAAAATGTTAAATGTGAAGAGCAATGCCATGACAACACCCCATAAGCCCATTGAAAGTGTGTCTACCCCCTAATGATGTTTGGCATTGATGACACACGATTATAGAGATTAATGTATTTGCTAATTGCATTATGAGGTTTGAAAGGATCGACATGTCAACTAGAGGGGGGCGGTGAACATGAGACTATAGATTTTAAGCGTAGCTTCCAAATTTCAAATCAATGCGGATAAATTAGATTCTCTAGATAGGCAACTAGGTGAACACAACCTATATCACTATATGACAAGCAAGCTCAAGGCAAGGTATGCTAGGCAACAATCTAATTAGCAAACCAACAAGAATACAAAGCAAGTAAAGGTATTGTAAATTATTTAACTACAAGTAAGTCGAGGACGCGGATTTTATCCCGAAGTTTACACTCTTTGGGGAGTTCTAATATCCGCTGGAGCGGTATTTGAGCCAAAGCCCTCGAACGTCACCAATTGTCTCACCATATCGTCCCTTTGAGTCACCCCTATGCATGAGCCTCAAATCCCTCGGGGTTGATCTTGAAGGCGAGGATCATGCCTTTACAAACTTCCCAGAGCAAATCACAAGCAAGGAAGCTTCCGGGGAACCTCCACCATCTGGGAGCCCAAGCTCAAAGAGTAACAAGTGTCAATGAACAAATCAAGCGGGGAACATGATTGGTTTGGTGGAAATGTGGATCGGGTCTTGCTCTCTCTATCACCAAAGAATCAACAAGTTTGGGGTGAACGAATAGTGAGTATTAAGGGCTTGTTTGGATTGTGACTATGTTTGCCTTATATTGCCACATTATTTTGCCACACTTGACTAACTTGAGTTGCTCGAATTGTTAGCCACATTTTGGCTTGCCCAAGGGAATCTTGCCACACTTTTTGTGTCTATGACATGTGAGGTTCACTTCTCATAAAACATTCTTGCCTTATGTCGTGGAATTATCACGTCGGATGTCCTAGTGAAAGGACTTAGTCGTGGAGCCATCGCGATCGGGTTAGCTTAGTGGGGTTAAACCGGACAAAGGACACAGGGAGTTTATACTGGTTCGGCCCCTTGCGGTGAAGGTAAAAACCTACGATCCAGTTGTGGTGTTCTTGATGTGGTCTCGATTACTGGGGAGCAAATATGCTTTGCCTAGTTCTTGAGTTGTTGTTTCTTGTCCCTGAACGGCCGCCGGGTCGTCCCTTTATATACATAGGTTGACGCCCGATCGGTCTACAAAATCCCGAGGCCGGCTCATACAAGTGTCTGACTCGGTTTCTCCTTTCCCTGACTTACAATACAAGTTATACACCTATGGCGGTTTACTACTATGGGCCCTAATCCTCCATTGGGCTTCTAGACCTCTAAGTCTTCATAGTGAAAACGCCATAGCCTTAGCCTTCATCGTCATGGGCTCTTGTACAGGATTCCTTGTGAGTTAACCCGGCCCCTCCTAGGCGGTTTAACTCAGTAGTCATATCCCCAACATTAGGCCCCAGATTGATTTGAACTTGTTCATGTCAATCTTCAACTTAGAGAATTTCTGATTTGAACAGCTTTATATTGTCTTATAAACTGCCGTGACGTCATCTTCTGGAATCACCTTAAACCGCAATGACATCATCTGCGTAAAAAACTCGTAAAGATTTCTTATTAATTGATCTCCGAAGATCAAGGTGACAGTTGTATCAGGTATCCGATTTTTGTCTCCTCGATTTTCGCGCCTATCACTTATCCCTTTGCCTTTATAAATAAGACCGAGGTCCTTTCCATTTTCCCCCTTGCCTCTTCGCATCTTCTTCCTCCTCACGACCCCGAAGAGCTCGAGCATCACCGCCGCCGTCGACCTTTGCGTCTGCACCAACCAGGATGCTGCATCAACTAGTTCTCGACCAGAAACCCTGCGACACTCCTCTGCCGCCGCGCAGCCCTGGTAAGCACTCCTCTTCCCGACTATTAGATCTGCATTAGGGTTCCATAGTCCTTCGGTGTTCATCAGCGTTCATCGGTGCTTATCTGCTTACCCTTACTATCTCCTTGAATCTAGATAAACCTGACAGCTTCTTTTCGCGGCGGAATCTATAGCTTTAGTCTGCCTTGTCATAGCATCTCTTCGTTTCTGGACAGATCCCATCTGGGCCTTTGTTGTTCTGCTGTCGCCATTTTAGGGCTCAGAAAATTTTTCTTTACTGAACTGCAGTAGATCTAAAACTACAATACCATCTTGTGAAACCTATTTGCGTAGCACTTAGCAAATTTCAGATCTGTTTCTTCCACTGTAGGCGGTTTAACCTTTAGAAAATGATAACCCGCCAGGTACCATTAGCCCTCACTTAAACCACCAACTTTACCTGAGCATAGTATCTGGTTTAACATGTATATATGCTTTGACTGAATCCTCCGGTTTGACACCGGTTTACTCCTATCAACCTTGAACCATGAACCGGTGCTTAAACTTCCTTTACATCTTGTCAGCAAAAATGGCCAAACAGTTCTCTTCTTGTAATTGGGTCCCCTCCCAGATTAAAGAAGAGCAACTTACTGGATATGTTCTGACTGGCGCTTTAGCCAAGAAGGAAATCATTCATTGGCGAGTCCCTGGACCTGAGGATACTCCTGAACCTCAAGAAGGAGAAGTTGTCATTTTTATGCAGCATCTAGACCAAGGATTCAGCCCTCCCGGATCAAAAAAAAATTCCGTGATGTGCTTGCTAGTTTCCAGCTCCACCTCAAGATATTGGACCAAATTATGTGTCCAATATTTGCAACTTCCAAGTATTTTGTGAAGTTTATCTACAAGAAGAACCATCTGTTGAACTTTTCAGAGATTTCTTCCACTTGAACTGCCGAACTGAATTCACCGACGGCCCCAACACTGAACTTGGCGGTGTGTCAATTTAGAAAAGGAAAACAGTTAATTTTCCTCATGTCAAACATCACAACCACCCCAAGGATTGGAATCAGACATTGTTCTACTGCCGGAACACTGCCCCTGCTGATGAAAATCCTCTACCGGGTTATCGGGCTCACCGGCTCAGCAACGAGCATCCACTGCCTCAACGGCTTACCGTCAGAGAACGACAAACATATGCACCACATATTGCTAAGCTCCGGGATTTTATGGCCAATGGTTTAACCAGCATTGACTTTGTCCATTGCTGGGTTTCATGGGGTATCCTGCCCTTAAGCTGTTGTACCAGATTGATGCATGAATATACTAGGGATGTTAAAGATCCTCAACGGCACACTAAAATACAGTTGACTAAAGATGAGGTCACTGAGGCTGTTAAGAAGATGTTGGATGAACCGGTAAATGAGTGCAGCAAAACCGGACTGCGTCCCTTTTATGCTTCCAACAAACCGCCAGCAGTATGATTTTGTCTTTCTACTTTTAATCCGTCCTCGTTCTAACACTTTCTGATAGCCTTCTTTTTATCTTTGCAGGATAAAGATCCATTCTGGAAAAAGAAATCTCAGGATAAACCGTCAAAACCGCAAGACAAACCGGCTAGTGGGGCTCGCAACAAGACCAAGGTCACAAAGATGCCGGCAAAGAAGAAAACCGCCGAGTCCTCTAGTCCGCCCGAAGATGTTGATGATTCGGAGCCAGAGGTAGAACTTGACTCCCTTGGTTCATTTTCATGCATCTTATTGACAATGATCTTTATCAGGATGATGCAGAAGCCAGCCGTGCTGACCATGTAGAGGTAATCTCCCTTTCCTCTGATTCAGATCATGTGCCAATACAAAAACTTTGCCGCGGAGTCCGGAAAGTAAAACACTCACATCCGCTTGCTCATTTGG